GTTCTCTGCGCTTCTTGGACCTGTAAGTCCATTTCTTTCTCCAGGTGGGGGAAGTTTTCTGCCATTATTTCTTGAAATAGGTTTTCAATATCTTGCTGTCTCTCATCTTCTGGCACTCCAATGACTCTGATATTAGTCCGCTTAAAGCTGTCCCAGAGGCTCCTTACACTATCTTCACACTTTCGGATTCTTTTTTCATTTTGCTTTTCCAATTGGGTGTTTTTTGTCGAATCTTTGGTTTGATTCTTGTGCTCCTCTGGTCTGCTATTGGGTATAATATTCTTTATTTCAGTCCGTGTATGCTTACTTTCTAATTTCTTTATCGTAGCATCGAGGGTCTCATTAGTTTTCGTGAGGCTCTGCACAAATTTATGGCAAGCCCTCAAAATTGCGATTCTTAGCTCCATATCCTCCATTTCTGTCATGTTTTTTTGTCTCCGCATCTTTTATGCTTTCTTGGTGCACCCCCTTGTGGTCTCTGTGCGCAGTCTTGTTCTAGCCAAGCCTTAATTGTTGTAGTTAACACTAGAGGGATTTGACCACCAGGCCGACTGGCTGTGGAAATCAGCTGTGGGAAAACTTCAGTCCTCTGGGGAGGCGCTAGTCCAGCCCTTGCCTGAGGCGATCGGCAAATGGCTCTGCACAGGGCTTGGGCGGGGCGGGCTCAACAGGGCGGGGGGAGGGAGCAGCTATGGCCGCTCTCAGTCCGTCCCCAGGGGCTCTGCCTCTCTGTCCCAGCAACCTCTGCAAACCTCGGAGGGGCCGTAGCCAGACAGTCCCGCTTCTCCCGTTTGAGTCTGGGTCCCTAGAGACTCTCCCGGATCTGTAGCCCAGAGTCTGAGACTCGCTCCTGATTGAAAACGACAACCGCGCCCTCAGCCGCCAGCCCGCTTTGCGCGCGCACCGCCGCACCACCGCACCGCCGTACCTTTAAATTTTCCACACTGCGCCTCCGCTGAGCGTCGGAATGCTGTTGTTTTTGCTTCTAGTTGAAGAGACTCTCCTCAGCCAGCCTTCCCGTGGTTCTGGTTGATGTCCGCTCAGACTTTTAGTTGTATTTTTGAAGTGGTTGTCCACGGCGGCAGTCTCCGGTGTGTTTACCTATGCCGCCATCTTCGATTCCCCCTGTCCCTCTTGAAGGTGGCATGCTCACACACCTCGCTTTCGCCAATGAAATGAAGGCTGAAGTGGTGTGCATCTGTCCTGGTGGAAGCTTTAAGTGCCAGTACGTGATTTGCCATGTTTCCTTCCCTCTGCTGAGGGGTGGGAGCACCTTCGTGATGAGGTCATCCATCAGCCAGGGGCCCAGAGTGAAGAAGTGAGCGGAGCGGAGGCCCACGCATCTGCAGTGGACCTATTGCTGGAGCCAGAAGGAAACTTCTGTTGTGTTCTAAGCTCTGAGATATTGGGGTTGTTTGGTGTCACGACAACCCAACCCTGAGTGATATACATACATTAGGTGTCAGGAAATGGGAACTTAGGGTTTCCCCCTCTTCCTTTTGCCTTTGTCTTGAGAGGTGCTTAGCAATGATGAAATGGATAGAGTCATTTGTAGCAAATGCTGTTTTGGGGGGCCACCAGCTAGCATACAGGGAATCCTGTCTGTATAGCCGATATTATACCTCTAGACTTCTCTTCCTGTCAGATTGAGGTGGACTGGGCATCAGAGTTTTGTCACCCAGTTTCCTTCCCAACACTCACCTTTCTCATCTGTGAAATGGGTGTGCTAGCTTGGTTTTCTGCCTTTACCAGGACCAGTTGTATGATTATTCCATGAATACTAAGTGCTAAACTCGACCTCAAGGACTTACTGTTACTTGGTTTCCCTTTCTACTTTTTCCCATTAGGCCCATGATGTGTAATTGTTCTCATTTCCTGCCCCACAGGATCTTGGAAACAAAGACCTCAACAGGGATAAAATTTACTTGATTTGTCAAATAGTCCGAGTTGGGAAGATGGATCTGAAGGACACTAATATGAAGAAGTGCACACAGGGACTGAGGCGGCCCTTTGGGGTGGCAGGTAATGACACATGACACGCCATTAACTCTCACTGGAGCGCACATTGTATGTGGCTGTGTTTTAAGAGGAGCCTCTTCCCTCTCCTCCTTGACCTCTCCCTCATCACCCAAAAAAATGTTATGCCAGACAGCCCCTCATACTTACATTTCTGGTGGCTAAATAAAAAGTATTAGTGACTAAGTCCAGGTTTATGATGAAGGCAATGATAATGGGATCCTCGTGTCTGGAGCAGAGCGTTGGGAGCAGGGCGCAGTCTGAGCAGTAGGCGCCTGGGCTCCCCAGCAAAGAGAAAAAGGAAGAACACCACGGGTGGGATCTAATTATAAAGAGCAAATCATTGAAAAACAACAACTCAGGACGGGAAATGCAGTTACACGGAGTGAATCACCCACCACCTGTGTGATTGCAGGTGGGAGTGGATGATTGGAGAGTCCGGGTGACCCCGGAGGCTGCCGAGAACAAGGTCCCTTTCCCATCGTCCCCAGCCTTTGCTCTCTCGGGTCCCAGACTTCAGTATTCTTGTCCCACTTGTGTGGTTTTTGTTATATTTGACTATCACTTGTACTATTATTTACCTAACGTATTTCCTTTTAATTAGCCCACTTTATTATAACTAAAGCATATTTTTTTCTTAAAAGGCAATTTAAATACCTGTGGAAACAGTAATTGGATATGCTATTTCTTTTGATTAGAATATAAATTTCTAATTATGTACCATTTATAATCTCTGTGTACCACATTTAAACCCAGGGTTTCTGGTACCTCACTTTCAAATACTCTGATCTTCAGTAATCACAAACCAGTCAGCTCTCAGCTTGTCCCCTACACTGCTTGCAGAGTGGTGGAGTGGAACAAGTTAGCTTATTCTAAGCTGTTGTTGTTTTTTAACCTGGCAGTGTTGCTAGCTAACTAGTTGATTTTGGGCAAGCATTTTCCCTAGTTTCACCATCTGAAAAACGAGAGACTTGGATCTGGTTGGTGCATGATCTGCTTTAAAATGCTCTGATTTTATGTGAGGGGGTGAGGGAAGGCCCCTCACCCTTGACATCACAGTGTTCCTGCTAAGGCATGAGGGACCTTCCACTTCACCTCAAAATGTGCCTTTGCCCTCTGCTGTGGCCTGACTGCTCTTTCAGTTTCAGGTGACAGCATTCTGGTATAACTGAAAGGTTCAGAGATAGATTGCTTCAGGCATAGCTGGATCCAGGAACTCAAATGAACTGACATCTCTCTATCTCTTGGCTCCCATGTCCTCTTATTCCGAAGATGGCTTTCCAATTAGTTTCCAAAATGTTGGCTAGTGTTCCAAGCTTGCATCCTACCAGCTTAGCAATCCAGGGGCAAGAGGCACCTCTTCCCCATTATTTTCAGCAGAAATCCCAGGAGCTTAAACACAGTCCTGTGGTCATCCCCAGAGTATCTACCTTGACCAGGGGTGTGTGGTCCTCTGATCGCCCAGTTCATACGAACAACTCTGGAGCCAGAGGGAGATTGCTCTACCCAAATCCTGCTCACAGAGAATGGACCATGGGGGTGTATTAATCGGAGAGAGTAGATGTTGGCCTGGTTCAAATAACACTTCCTCGCCTTTTCTCGGCTCCTTAACTCACATCTTGAGCTAGATTTAGTCACTGATTAATTATTACTCAAGAAATTTTAGGGGCTCCCTGCCCAGGGCCTGCTGTGTTGGGGTATGTCATGTTACTAGGATTTTAGCTCTACCTGACTAGCTTTTTTTAGTGCCTCCCTTCACCCCCATCGTTTCTATATCCCTGCTCCAATGCCGGAGCTCTTCACCTTGGTTTTGTAGACCTTTAGTGGCTGAGCTAAGAAATTTCTGAGGATCCAGGACCCCTCTGGAATCACAGGGTTCAGAGCTCCGACAGTTATGTGTCTGTGCTGTGAGCATGTTTATGAAAAGAGGGTGAATAGATCTCATTTGGTTCTCAGATCCCATAGCGAGTCACCACTCTCGGGTTTTGTAGGCACAGTAGACGTGCAATACATACACGTCAAATCCAAAACCAAGTGCTTCATTCCACAGTCACTACCCTGACCCTTTCTTCTTGGCTCTGCTAACCCACATTCTCCCGGATGGTTCCGTGGCTTGCTGATGCCCAGCCTCCTTTGCCAGCAGTTGGCCAGGTGCTACATGTTATGAACATGTCTGTGTATTGTCTGACGCTGGCTTGCTCTCTTAGACTTTCCTGCCCCAGCCTTCTGCCCTACAGTCTCATCCCTTTGTCATCCCTTCCTGGGTGTAGGAGGACTTACACTGTTCATTTCTCTGCTTTTTCTAGTTATGGATATAACAGACATCGTCAAGGGGAAAGCAGAGAGTGACGAAGAGAAGCAGCACTTCATTCCTTTCCACCCGTGAGAGATTTCCCATTTATCTCCCTTCTCTTAAGCCACACCCTTTTGTGTTGGGGACCACATGAGGGCCTCCTGTGAGTGTTTGTGCTCTTTTTCTTTGCAGGGTGACAGCTGAGAATGACTTCCTGCACAGTCTGTTGGGCAAAGTCACGACCTGCAAGGGAGACAGCGGAGGGCAAGGTACAGTGCCAATTCGCCAAGTGGACTGGGCCTGCCTCTGGCTTGGGAGCCTCTGATTCTTCAACAAACAGGTCCAAAATCTGAGCCTTGGGAAAGACAGCCTTCCTTCCAGACAGACCATTGCGAAGAGTGGGGGCGTGTGACCCACAGAAATGGAAACCACATCTCCTGAAGCTGGGAGGCATGTTCTAGTGCCCATAGGAAGAGAGGGACTCCTATGTCCTGGCTACCTCCTATATGTCAGGCACTTGAACATGTTTCCTTATTTTATCTAGTCCTTCCCACAGTTCTGTGAGGTAGATGGTATCATGCCCTTTATGAAGGCTGGGCTTAGAGAGGCGGGGCCATTTGACAGGCATTGATGTTGCTAGAAGTAACCAGTGGGATTCAGACCTAGAGATGCCTGGTTGCTGATGTCTGCTTCCAGATGTTTGCTTCCAGTGTTCTCCTTCAGAAGGAGACCCAGGGAGAGCTGGTGGTGGTGGTGGTGTGGAGGGGTGAGGCTGAGAGAACACCTTGAAGAAATTGGCTCTTCATGGTGAGCCTTCCCTTCCAGGCCTCTGGGTGACCATGAAGATGCTCGTGGGGGACATCATTCAGATCCCCAAGGACTACCCCCACCTGGTGGACAGGACCACCGTGGTGGCCAGGAAGCTGGGCTTCCCCGAGATCATCATGCCAGGTCTGGCCTTTCCTCGGGGAGTGGGGGGTGGGGGTCCAGCTGGTTGAATCAGTTCTTCTTACAAAATCAACTCCTTCCTTTTCTACTGCTTTTTTCTAAATTTTCCTGAAGGTCACCACTGAAAACAATTTTTGTATCTACAGAAATCTACGCATTCACATACTAAACGCAAACACATAAATATACACATGCACTTTCTCCCCACAAGTGGGGCTGTCCTTTATATGCTTTATACACCATTACTTCATATTCTTTATATATAAAGTAACTTGCTTCACTGCTTAACTATTTAGCATGGACATCTTTTCTATTTTACTACATATAGAATAAGTCCATTCTTCTGGGGAGAATATTCATTCCCTTCAAATTTTAAACAATTTTTTTATTACCAAAGACTTCATGCCTGCTGTAAAATGTTCAAATAGCTTAAAAAGGTATAAAGTGAAACATTAAAAGCTCCCTAATACTTTGTCTCCAGAAGTAACCACTACTATGAACATTTTCCCAATGTGTCTGACATAAAAGGAAGATGACTGAGGTTACATGAGATTCTTTGAAAAGTTTCCTTTTTGTCCTAAACCTCGTGTCCACGACTGTTCTCACTGACTTCCTCTCTTCCTGCCACAGCCACTGGGGCCTGTATTGTCAGTCCTTCATGTCTGCTTTACCTGCGACCTCAGTTTCTTGTGATTCCCCTTCAATTCTTCTTGCCCCGATCCCCGAAGACCCTTTGCTCCTCATCCCCGACCCTGGGTTCCCTGGACACACGAGCAATGCTCCGCTTCCACAGAGTAAAAGATCAGTGAGTGTCCACGGTAGCTATTAATGGGCCTGGATCAGTTCAATTGGAGCTTTCCTTTGCCTTCCCAGAAGGTGTCACTAGAGGATGAAAATTAAATGATTTCAATGGAGAGAAATACATGGCCAGTTTTGACCATCCTTACCCACCCCCAACCCCGCTTTGCAACTGATTTCCTAGTGTTCCTCCATCCCCTTGTTACCTATTGCTCCTCCATCCCCTTGTTACCTATTGCTCCCGCCTCCCCGATGAGGTAAAATGCCTTTCCAAGCAGTTCTGATTTTAATTTCATTAATGGACATCAAGGCGGGGAACTTCCGCTCACTCCCCCTGTTCTCCACCTCTCTAATCAGCAGCCCTCCAGCTGCACAGACTCCAACTCTTGTCTCTCTCTCTCCCTCTGCCTCAGGGGATGTCAGAAACGACATCTACATCACTCTCCTACAAGGCGACTTTGACAAGTACAACAAGACCACACAGAGGAACATGGAAGTGATCATGTGTGTGTGCGCGGAGGATGGCAAAACGTTGTCTGTAAGGACCCCTGCTGTCGCTCTGGGTGACAAGGCCCCCCTTGGGGGCCTCTGCTAGTAAAGATTTGCATTTCCCACCCCTGATTCTGCTCTCTAAATGCCAACTGCCTTCGGGATGGTGTTGAGTAATGTGACCTACACCTTAGAGCTCGGTTAGCACAGTAGCCCATAATAAGACCTGGTGTTGTTATTTCTTTACACCAAAGCAGCTCTTCAATGCCTGTTCCTCTCCTTTCATGACTGCTAGTTCTTCTTTTTTCTTTTTCTTTTTGCTTGGCCTCACTCCATAGGTTAGCCTTTGCAGTTAAAATGTTGTTCTCATTGAAACATGAGCTGGTTTATTCAGGCAAAATTCATGGCAAAAAAGAAAAAAAAAGATCAATACAGAGCCTTAGGCTGGTGGAGACTCAGGATGCGCTCAACACAGACAACCCAGCACTTGCTCTAAATTCCCAGCGCTCAGCCAGATGCTGGTGGAAAGCCTCATTAGTAAATTGGTCTCCAGAGGGCTGGCCGAGTGTATGCAAGAATGCAAAGCACATTGCTATAAATATTTAGACAGCATATGTCCTCTACAATATTTGTCATGTGTGTTTACATCTATTTACTTACATTTCCTCTAAGGTTGTCAGCAGCTGTGTCCAGTGTGTGGGAGGGTCTTGTGCCTCAATTTCTCCTTTAGGAACACTTAGCTGAAAATAAAATTGCTCTCAGCAGAAGTGGCAGCATGGGCAAATGCTCCTCTCAGGCCGCAGTAGGTGATCAGATAGCACAGTGGGATGTGGTGTGAGTGTCGATAAGTCATCTGCTCTGCCTGGGGCCTGAGCTCAGGCAGATCTTGCCTTCCTCCACCTAAGAGTAACTAGCATTACAGAGCCATTGCAACGTGCCAGGTACCCCCGGTAAGCATGATGCATTGCCATCATTACCCCATCTTTACAGAGTGGGAAGCTAAACAGCTCTCCCAAGGTCATGAGGTGAGTATGAGCAGAGGGGGGTTTGGATTCATTCCAGGTTTCTGGCCCTCTTAAACACTTCACTGTGACGTCTATCCATCTAAAAAATTACCCAAGTCATTTCTCATTTTAACATGAGGCTAGTAACCAATTCTATCAAAATCTATTTTAACTTTAAGGAAATCCCCACAATTGCATTTTTGTTCATAAAGACTGGCTCTGTTAATTAATATTTAATTGAGCAAAATACAGGCATTTAACTCATTTTCTTTTTTTTGATTCTGAAACTTTTCTGAAAAATAAAATAAGTGAGAGACATGTTGCCGAAAGGAACATAAAGGAAGAGTAGAGGGTTTTTATCTGAAAGGGAATTTGCATTTCCCCGAATGTACAGACCACTGCTTTGAAGTTATTTTTACCCAGCTACCTGTTGGGGAACTTTTTAACCTCGGCTTCAGTTTTTAAGCCATTGATACCCTTGCCGCCAATGCTGCCAAATGACAAATTAGAAGAAGCGTTAACAGAAAAGCAGGTGTCTTACCTTGTTTCTGAACCATTCTTGCTTCTACCTCTGCTACCTTTTCAAGTCATACCCCACCAGGCGGCATAGACGCATTTCTCACAGATGAATACGGGAGCACGCATGCTGGGGCTGAGGTGGAGAGGCAGCTGTGGGTCGTGGTGATAATTTGCAGTTTCATCTACTAGGGAAGTTATGGGGGAGTTCAGTTGACTGACTATTGAAAATTGCTATGGAAGCCTGTGAGAGGCTTGCCTTTCTCTCTCTGCAGAAATCAATATGACTGCCTAATGAAGTGCCAGGCGGCTCACTCAAACACTCCTGTCTGACGCTGGTGGGCTCCTGTGGGAACGGGCCCCTTTAGGGATACCGACTTCTCCTCCTGCTTCAGGGGCACAAGGCCCTTGGCGGAGTGGGGCCAGAGGACAGTGGGGTATATAGGTCATTGGCTCACTTTGGGGTCTCAACGACCTTGCTCAGAAAGGGTCATAGGAGAGAAGCTAATGAGGTGAGCTCTGGGCTCAAACATTCAGGGTTCAGATCCAAGCCTCTCCTATCAGCTGTGTGATCTTGGGCAGGTTTATTTGTCTATAAAAGAGGAATAATAATCCTTCTCGTCAGATTTCAGGTTAAACAAAATGGTAGGTGTAAGATACCTGGTATGCTGTACTTGGTAACAGGAAGGAAAACATTAAGAGAAGGCAGACCTACTACAGGGTGAAGCCCTGGGCATGAATCAAGGGTGTTCAAGTGGGCAATCCAATGTGGATGCCTGAGCAAGTCTAAAGAGAATTAAAAAAAGGCTCAGATGTCAGGTTGAGAAACCTCTGCTCTTCTGACCAGCTTAAGGTGGGAGGTAGGGCGTGGGAGGCAGTGTGGTGTCATGGTTAAGACTATGCCTTCTGGGGCCAGATAGCCAGGCTCAAAGCCCAGCTCAGCTCAGAGTAGCAGGATGACCTTGAACAAGTTACATGATCTCTCTGTACCGAAGATTCTCTGCCTGCAAATGAGGCCAGCTGTGGCACCTTATTCTTGTGACTATCAAGTGAGGTAATCTACATAATAGGTGTTCATTACTGTTGGCCATCTTTCCTGGAAAGGTAGAGCGATCTCCAGGCTTGACTCCCGCCTGGTGGATGCTCATAGGCATCTCCCCGTGAGGTGGCCTCATAGGTGTGGCACACTTTCTGGCGCGTTCCCATCCATGGTGACATTTGTTCCTCAGGTGATTCCTGCAAGGTAAATAGGGCCTGTGTTATGAGCCTGAGGTCCCTCCTGCTGAAGTGTGCCTGCCAAGGCCAACTCAGCCTTAAAGCCTCCAGTTTCCTGATTCCTGCTCAGATGTGCTCGGCTGACGGAGTCAGCAGAGCCTCCTGACTGTTAACTGGGGTTCCGGGGGTAGGCAATGGGGAAAATTATTGAACAGGCTTACTTGAGTCAAATCTATATTTTCCCTAAAACTGGGCTCAGTCCCAATCACGATGCTCTCTAGACACATTTGGCAATGTCCAATTTATCTCTGAAGGGTTGAGGGTCTTAGGCCTTTCTCAGAATAATACTGAGACTTTTCTCCAGCCTTAGGCAATCAAAATTTTTCATCATCTGAGGCACTGGCTGGGTAGCTCAGCTGTTTAGAATGTTGACTGCGGGTTAGATCCCGGTCAGGTCACATACAAGAATCAACCAATGAATGTATAAGTAACATACAAGAATCAACCAATGAATGTATAAGTAAGTAGTACAACAAAGCAATCTCTCTCTCTCTCTCTCTCTCTCTAAAAAAAAATCAATACATAAAATTTTTAAAAATATTTTTTTTCATCATCAGGACAGTTTTGTGGGATTCCGTTGCCTGCCATACAGCAATTCTACTTTCACCAGAGATAGATGTGTATCTTTAGATTTTATGAGCTAGATGGAATTCACTGGAGCTACAGAAACTCTAAGCCCATAAATGTCACCAAATATAAATCTTGGGTGGCTGGAAAGCATCTAGGTTGTTCTAGAAGGAACACTAGGCAAAGAGTAGAGGGTCTGAGATGTAGTCCAGCTCTGCTACTTGTGGGCAAGTGACTTAACCTCTCAGGGCCTCAGTTTATTCAGTTGTGAAATGGGGATAATGATGGTAATCGTCAGAGGTGGTTATGAAGATGGAAATAAGTGAGGTCAGGTGTGGAAAGGACTTAGCACAATGCTAGACAAAATGCACTCTTTGAAGGGTTAGAAAAAGCTTGGAAGCATGTTTTTAGTTTATTGCCCAGAGAATTTCTGAAAGGCTTCTTCCCTGTGAGAAGTAGAAGAGATGTGTGTCTTTCTTTATTTCCAGTTCTCTGGTTCTCCTTATGATTACTTATTTATTTATTTATTCATTATTTATGTATTGTTAATCCTCACCTGAGGATATTTTCCCACTGATTTTAGAGAGAGTGGAAGGGAGGGGGAGAGACACACAGAGAGAAACATCGATGTGACAGAGACACATTGATTGGTTGCCTTCAGCATTTGCCCTGACCAAGGCCTGGGATCGAGCCTGCAACCAAGGTATGTGCCCTTGATCAGAACTGAACCCAGGATCCTTCTGTCCTCGGGCTGACACTCTATCCATGGAGCCAAACCTACTAGGCTCTTGTTTTTGTTTTTAGAGATCAGTTTTGAAAGGGCACTGTATCCTTACTTTGAAATAGACTCAGTTTGGCTGCAAGTACGACCCGTCAGTATTAAACTGAGCTCCTCCTTTCCCTGTGGCTCAGAAGTAAAGTGGGCGCTCTGCCACAAGAGGGGCGGGATTCTCCTTCCCACAGGGGTCCCAGGGCCCACACGCGGCCAGCTGGGCCATTCAGTCCTGGGAGGCGGGCTTGGTGCCAAGGATCTATTGGAGAATCTGGTAGAATCTGGTGAGAGGCCTGGACTCTCAGACGATACAAATGCCCAGAGGCACACAGTTTTGCAATTTGGGGGTTTGGAGCTGCAAACCCAATCCTCACATCCCTGAGTCTCTATAGACTGGAGGTTAAAATCTGCTGCTCTTGTATAAGAACCCCACTTAAGCCCCTTCTGGGTGATCCTGGCTCAGATCTGTTTGGTGGTCAAATAACTAGAATGAACAGAGAGAGAGAATCAGGGGTTGGTATACTCCATAAAGAGGTAATTCCTGTTGCCCTTGTTGGTTTGGCTCAGGTTTTACTCGAAAAAAGGGCGCGTACCTCGAGCATTGCACTGATCGAGTCGACGTTACGCTCATCAGACGCCGCGGTTGGGGCATATGCCAGAGAGAACAAAGTGAAGTGCTCTCTCAACACAATGTGTTTCTCTCTCTCTCTCCACCTCTTCCTTCTACTCTTTTTAATAGAACGCATAGTATCCTTGGAGTGAAAATTTAAAAAAAAAAAAAGGAA